CCCCCCACCCCCCCCCTTTGGCCCCCCCCCCCTCCCTCTTTGCAGATTTGAGGTTGCAGTGCAGCAGCCTCTCTGCTCACAGCCCGGGCTATAAATAACTCGGCAGCCATCTTATCTTTTCTTTTCTGTTTTTTTTTTTTGTTCTAACCCTGTTGAGAAGAGGAAGGAGGAGGAGGGGGAGGAGGAGGAGGAGGAGGAGGGGGAGGAGGACACCAGGGACAGATATGATGAGAGTCACATGATGGATGAAATTAGCCGAAGGCCTCAAAGCTGCAGCGTTAGTGAGGAATCAATGAATACTGACGAACAGGTGGAGAAAACCTGAAAACCAGTGTTTAGCTGCTGGTTTTTACACACACACACACACACACACACACACAGACACACACACACACAGACACACACACACACACTCTCTGTGCAGCTGTGTGACCAGTTCAGTGTTGTCACGACCTGAGAGCTGAGACCAGATCTCATACATGATACACGAGCTGCTGCCTAACACAACCTAACCTCCACATGAACTGTCAGCAGTTGAGTTGCACTGTGGGTAATGTAGGCTCCAGGTCTCTGGTTCTGCTGCATTAGGTTTTTAAAAACTGTCCATTCTGTAGCACGAAGCTGATTGGTCCTCACTGATGAACACCTGGACTGGACCTCAGGACCAGAACCAACCCGCCGGTCCTNACACACACACACACACACACAGACACAGACACACACACACACACACAGACAGACACACAGACACACAGACACACACAAACACAGACAGACACACACAGACACACACACACAGACACACACACACACAGACACACACACACACACTCTCTGTGCAGCTGTGTGACCAGTTCAGTGTTGTCACGACCTGAGAGCTGAGACCAGACCTCATACATGATACACGAGCTGCTGCCTAACACAACCTAACCTCCACATGAACTGTCAGCAGTTGAGTTGCACTGTGGGTAATGTAGGCTCCAGGTCTCTGGTTCTGCTGCATTAGGTTTTTAAAAACTGTCCATTCTGTAGCACGAAGCTGATTGGTCCTCACTGATGAACACCTGGACTGGACCTCAGGACCAGAACCAACCCGCCGGTCCTGAGGTTTACTCTGAAGCTGGAATGATCTACGACACGCTGTGGATCGACTCGTTCGCCACACCTGGACAATCCCAGACGATGACCTCAGACCAGGTCACCTCAGAGCGCGACCACTGAGTATCGTCCTCTGTATCTGTGTCTCCACATCACTGCAAAATATATATAAATATCATATCTGAATATCATTACTGGAGAGAGGAATATTATTGAACTGAACGTCACGGTTTAGCATCTCAGTTTTCCAGGATTGTCGTCTCTTTTTTGAGCGAATCAATATTCTTTCCCTGGGACTCGAATTCTGATTTATAGAATATAGTCAAATAAAAGCTCATGTGTTTCTACTATCTACTGCTTGTCTGTTTTCTTCCTGGTTGTGTTGATTGGTAGTTTACTTTATTGCCTAGCAACTGCCGCGCCCACCCACATCCACGACCCCACCGTGGCTCCAGGTAGAGAGCCGGACCCTGTACTGCAGCGCTCCAAATAAAACTTTATTTCGTTTATGAGGTGAAATTGGGGGAGACTCAGACCCTCAGAGGTTCCAGGTTACTTCCTGTTTATCCAGAGTATAAAATATTAACTATGAAATTTTATCATAATTTCTGTGCGGTCTCGAGTAATGGCTGAAAAGTGTTTTGTGAGGTCACCGTGACCTTGACCTTTGACCTTTGACCGATGACCACCAAAATCAAATCACTACATCCTCGAGTCTTCGTGAATGTTTGTGCCAAATTTAAAGAAGTTCTGTCACGGCGTCACTGAGATATGGTGTCCACTGACTGACGGCCTGTCGTCGCCGTGGAGGAGCGACCAGTACAGGTCGACCGCCGTCTCTGCTCAGCGTCGGCTCTTAACAAGACCTTTTGTATTTGATGTGACTGACATTTCATCTGTGATGGTAAATCTAACAAAATAAAAAAGATAAAGCTCCTCAGGAAACAGCGGGCTGTTTAAACTCAGACTCATGAATATTCATGAGCTGTCGTGTGTCGGTGACTTCAGAGGGAGGAAACAGTCTCAGTCACATTTACATACAAGACGTCAGAGTCAAGGTGACCTCCTGCTCTAACACACTCATACAGAACATTATATGCTATCTTAAATAGAAAACATGGCCGACATGTTCTTCAGATCTTGACGTCTTTATGACGTTTTTATTCTTCAGCGCCGGCGACAGTCAGAGCGGTAGCCATTTTGTTTTTAAGTTGTCTGTCCGTCTCATTCTCATGGACACGATACCTCAGTGACACCTTGACTGAACGTCTTGAAATTTGGCACAAACATTCACTACGACTCAAGGATGAATTGATTAGATTTTGGGGGTCAGAGGTCAAAGGTCAAGGTCACAATTTAACTCAAATGTCTATATGGATGAAATGAGGACGTTATATCCAAAAGGTCAAAGGTCAACTTCACTGTGACATCACAATGTCACTGGTGAAGGAGACCGTCGCCACGTCTCCTGTAACGTGGCTGGATACAACCGTGAGGCGATTCCAGCTTTTAATTATGTTTTATTGTAATTACTCTTTAACACACTTGTTTGTGTGATTTATGCTGCCTTATACATTGAAGCTCCAGTGTTTGTTTGATAAATGTGTTGATTTATGAGCAGTACTGGATAATGTGTTTATGTGAAAACAAGTGGAATCGTATAAGAATCTTGTTGAATAAAAATTCAGTTAAAAAAAACCCGTCCACATGATGATCTCCAAAACAACTCCACATTTTTATTCAGTATAAATTCAGTTCGTGCTTAAACCTTCAGGAGCAGAACAAGTGTTTCATCTACACTCAGCTGTTACTACACAGATGAGAGACAGAGAGAGAGACAGACAGAGAGAGAGACAGACAGAGAGAGACAGATGAGAGAGAGAGAGAGATGAGAGACAGAGAGAGACAGAGAGAGAGAGAGAGACATAAATACTCTCTTGTATTAACGATCATAACTCAACAATGTTCATGTTTAGTTTGAGGCTTTTACTGAAAACACAGAAACTGCTGTGAGTCCTGAGTCACTGCAGCTTCTACCTGATGGTCCCTGAACGCACCACTCCTGACCTGTACCTGTATCTAACTGTTGGTCAAAACTACTGCTGGTCCCGTTTAAATGATGAATCTATAAAGTTTCACAGACTTTAAAGTCTCTGTCAACAAGCTATAAAACTTCAGTGCAGTTTCTATCAAAACAGAGAAAATATGAATCCTTTGAATGTTTTCCCGCCTTTTTCTTGCTGTTGATGGATGAGCTTCAGAGGTGCAGGTGGTTTTGTAATGGTGGTTTTCCCTCAGTGAAGAAACACGTGTTAAACGGCTTGAAACGCTCATGTAGCTGTGAGCAGGTTAATGAAGACGTTTCCCTGCGTTCCCTTAAATCTACGAGTTTAAACTTCATTTCTCTTCTGAGTCACATGACACCGAGCACAGAGGACGCCATCAAGTCCAGATCAGTTTGTTGCTGGTTTTCTACAAACCGCGGCGTGGTTGAAAAGCTCAGAGACGCGACGACAGTCCAACACGACGGAGTGTGTTTAAAGCAGCGGATTATAAAATGTGTGTGTCCACGGGTTCCAGTTCAACCCTCCCTGTACGTAAAGGTTCAGTTCACCCAAAACCACAGACACATTCACTCCTTTACAGCAGCGCCGTCTGTCCACGCACACTGATTTTATTACAGCTGAGCAACTTATCAATTCATTATTCAATCAAAAACAGAAAATATATCTAACAATCATTATAATCAATGATTTTAATGCAACGGAAAGAAAAAGCTTCGACAACATGAATATTTGCTACTTGGACAAACGGACATGTGAAGTCTCTGTAAACTGTTTCCTGACATTTTATAATCAAACTATTAAATGAACAAACAGAATAAATCAGTGGATTAAACTAGAAAATAAAAACAGCAGCTGAAGCCTCACGATTCTTCTTCTACTGTATCGTTGTCTGCGTGGACAGACGACGCTCTGGTGTTAGAGGGAAAAACATCAAGTCATTTTATTTGAAGGATAAAGATATAATGTTTTTATTCTCGTGACTGCAGGAGTTTATTCTCATTGTTATCACTTTTTCTCTCATAAAAATCACAACCAGTAACGTTGAAGCTCGTCTTTGTGATTTTGGAGAACTGACCTTTAATGAAGATTCCTCTGGTGTTGGTTTAAAGTCATGACACTGGCGCTTTAAATCAGTCCTGTGAATGTAAATGTGTTTTATGTAATGAATTCCTACTCGTTAAAGGGACGATCTGAGGACTGACGAAGACGCGTTCATCCACATTGAAAATCTTTCTGTACAGAAACGGGTGAACGCGGCGCCGCAGGAAGCGTCAGAACCACGACTCGAGTGCTGGATGAAACCAGCTTCTTATTCATTAATCAAGTTTTTCTGATTCTGAAAAAGCAAAAACAAGAAGGCGAAAACAAACTGGAGGATGAGTCTTTTACCAACACCACAGGAACCTTTCAAAATAAAATCACCCAGCAGCTGGATGACATAAGAATCCACGGGTTACAGTCAACTGTTGTGGCCCCTCCCCCTCCCCCTCCCCCCGTACAGGAAGTGGTTCACAGATAAACCTGGATCAGACTGAAAACCTGATGTGGAGTCGATTAACCTGCGAGAAGCGCTGCGAGATGACCGGAGGGAGTTTGTTGCTGGAGGAGAGGAAGTGAAGGAATGACGACAAACCGCCGACCAGGAGACGACGTCCTGACTTCATCAGCGACTGAAACTGAAACACAAAGTCACAATTAAAACAGTGTAAATCAGAAATCAGCACAGAGATCCACTGGTTCTGTCTCAGTCCAGCTCCTCACAGGATGGTCTGTGGTGTAAAATAAAGATTCATTTTAAACCAAAAACACTCGCCACCTTACCCCCAGGCTAAGTGGGGCCTAAGACCGATGTTACCATGGTAACAAACAATGAAAAACAGGAAAACATGGCCCATAATTTTGTGGTTTGCTGACATTGTTATGGAGAGAGCAACGAGAAGGGAAAGATTTTAGAGACAAAAATCAGATTTTTTTTTTTTTGTTATTGTTTCACTCTTCGCTGAATTTTCAAAGTAAAACTTCCTGTAACTGTTGAATCCTTCGAAAAACAAGCATGTGCTGCTGAGGGTAAACAGAGCTCAGCGGTGGGATGTGGTTCCTCAGTCGGCCATTTTTTTTTTTATTTTGAAAAAAGTCTTACTTTACCCAGAATTCCTTGTACCACAGTCCGGCTCACAACCGTCAAGAACTAAACTGCTTTTGTGCAACAGATGAATTCAGACTCGGTCCGTCTGAAGTCCGTGTGAAACCAGCTGATCACCTGAGACGTTAACACCAGGTCTGAACAGGCCGGAGGAACCCAAACCTCTCCGAGGCGTTCACTGTCCTCTGTTTAAAAGTAACTCGACCAAACGTTCACTACAAACAGCTGTGAGGAGGAGCCTCAGTGTTTCCTGGCCACAGACCAGAGTGTGTGTGTGTGTGTGTGTGTGTGTGTGTGTGTGTGTGAGGACTCACTTGAACTTGTCGCTGTCCTGCAGGTTGAGCACCAGGCTGTCAGCGTTCAGGTACACTCTGTTTTGGGACTGCGCCACCTGCAGGTCAAACACAGGAAGTGAGCGGACAGAGAGAAACACAGGTGGAAAGTTTCTGAGCGAGCACAATGGGAACATTGTCAGAGCGTCGACACTGAGCCGATTCACCACACACACACACACACCATACACACACACACACACACACACACACACACACACACACACACACACACACACACACGTGACTGGGATCTACTGAGGGAGAGCGTCACACTCAGCTGAGATCGTTTCATCACCGACCTCTGGACACGATCCAGCAGCTTCACACACTTTCCTTCAGTGACCAACACGTGTTCAGGGTCGGCGTGTGAACGAGCATTGTTAGCATCATTATTGATAATTACTGTGGATTTCTTTGGTCAGTGTATCAGGTTTATTCTCTGTTTGCTTCTTGGCTTGATTTAAGTTTTGGACAAAAACAGTCTGTAATGATTTTAATTAGAATCACAGGATGTAATTTGTTGATTTTAATTTGTGAAATTTCACGTCAGAATCTAATCTGCACATGGATTTTTAAACTGATGTTCATTTATTATCACTTTTTGTTTCATTATTTCACACTGACACCACAATGTGACTTTCATTTATATTTACTTATTTCATATATTTGTTTTTGTTGCTGCTGTTCATTAAAAAACGTGAGAAATAATGAAGGAAAGCAGCTGCTGAGTAACATTTTTCCTTTAAAGCGTCTAATAAAACCAGATGTTTAAATATGACTTTGAAGGTTTAATGAAAATTTTTTATTCTTGATAAAAATCAACTTTTAAACCTTAAACTCAAAATTTCTTCTGACTTTAAGTGGATACGACTGAACCCCGGAACCCAACCTGACTGGAGGTCAAAGGTCAGAGGATCGGACCTTCATGGTTCTTCTCAAATTCATGGTTGTTTGGCGCCACCCGGTGGACCCCACCACACCCTGCAGCTCTTCCACGACCTGCATTTTATATATTTGAAGGTGTGCCAGTGTAAAGGTCTGTGTCCATGTGTAGTGTGATTATAGATTATAGATCAGGTCTAGCTTCTATATTAATACTGTGAAAGTATCAAAGCCTCACCAACTTTTGCACACGTCACCGTCACAGTTTAAAATGTGACAGATCCTTAACAGCTGGTTTTGAATGTGTTTGCTGCAGGATGATCGGAGCAGAAGACACAGAACCAGGACTGAGTGGGACGGGTCCAGGTCCACATGGAGGATCTAAATCTCACGGACGAGGATCAGGTTTCTACTCTGAGAAGTCGGTCTGTGAATGAAGAAGCTACAGACAGACGGGGCCTCTGAACCTCGGGCTTCTCCGTTACAATAAAAAGCTTCAGGTGAATGTTTTTTTACCGTCTTAGCGATGTTCTGCGCCGCCCGGATCTTCCTCAGTTTCAGGTAGCCCGGGTTCTTCGTCACAGCCTCGCCCAGCTGCAACACACACACACACACACACACACACACACACACGAGCTGTTAGTGTGTTCACAGGAAGATACAGTTACACACCCACAGAAGAGAGAGAGCGAGTGGGCGGCCCGAGGCTGATCGGCAGCAGGCCGAGCCGGTCTCTAACTGACGGCCGGCGTCGCTCCCGCCTGAGCTGTGACATCGCTCATCAGGAGGATCAAAGCCGCGGGCGTGACGCTGCTCCTCTTTCATGTTCTCACGCACGCCGGCGGGCGGAGAAAGTCATTACTGCATATTTGTATGAAGCGTTTGTTTAAGAGCCTGTTGTTTCCCTCGAGTTCACGGCGGGACGGGAATTTATCTGAGGCGGTTTGACGACTTCATTAGCGTCGATTAGTCGCCTGTAGACCTGTGAAATTACACAGAGGCATTCATGGACTTCATCCAATCACTGAGCTGCACCTGCAGATACAACATTCATTCCTTCACTAGACGCGCTGCTCATCCTTTGTCGAGGGCGGGTTCCTCCTCTCCTGTCCATCACAGCTCTGACATATAGAGACTAATTATCTAATCAACCTGAACAAAACATCTTCACCCTCATTGTTCAAATGTGCAGCATGAGACGCATTTAAAGGTTTTGATACAAAATCAACTTTTAAACCTTAAAAACTCAAAATTTCTTGCTGACTTTTAAGATAGGCAGTACGAGTGGAGACCGCGCAACCCAATCCTGACTGGAGGTCAAAAGGTCAGAGGATCGGACCCTTCATAAGGTCTTCCATTTCTCTCTTAATATAAATATCCACTCCGGGCTTCGCCTATTGACGGATCGACCACCCACGGTGGATCCTCCCAAAACACCCACTTTGGGGTCGGAGCTCTTGTCAGACAAATGCTTCGGTATTTGTTAATAATATATAATATAGAATAAGACTCACGATACTCGACAAGTGTACAATAAAGGTCTATGTGGCTACATAGTGTATGTGGTAGAGTGTAATAAAAATACGAATATATAATACACGCGTCTAAGCTAACTATATAACATCAGCTTGTGACAGAGGAGCTATCAGAGAAGCTCTCGACTCTTCACACTGTTATACTGAGCTAGCGGTCACCCCGTTAGAGTGGTGTTCCGTCATTGGCCCTCTCCGCTCCACTACGTTTAAAATGTGACAAGATCGCTTTACACAAGCTGGTTTTCTGACATTGTGTGGTGTGCCACTCGCAACGCCATTGATCGGAGCAGAAGGAAGCCCGGCTCTAATTCGGTGTCCTGTTGTCCAGACTGTCCGCAACAGGAGACACCTGAGTGGGGACGGTCCAGGTCACACATGGCAGGATCTAAATCTCACGGACGAGGATGCAGGTTTCTACTCTGAGAAGTCGGGTGTGTGAATGAAGAAGCTACAGACAGCGGGGGCTCTGAACCTCGGGCTGGGTCTCCGTTACAATCAAAAAGCTTCAGGTTGAATGTTTTCTTTTTTCCCGTCTTACGAGCGATGTGTCGTGGCGCCGCCCGGATCTTCCTCATTTCAGGTTAGCTCTGCTCGGTTTTCCTCTCCGACGTGTCTAGATAGCTCCAGCGCAGAAGCTGCAAGATGGCAGCAGCTTAAACAAGGAAGACTTGTTTTATGTGATGCACTGGTTTCACAGTGAGATAGTAATTACAGTGACTTAGGCACCCGCAGTCAGTTACAGAATGTTCAGAGTAGTTGCGCAGTGGGCGGCCCCGAAGGCTGATCACGGGCCAACGCAGTCGAGCCGTCTTCTTAACTGACGGACCGGTGTAAGAGTCGCTGCTTATATTTTAAGTGCTTTTCTGTTGTTATACCGATCACCTCCTCACAACTGTGTTTTGAGTGTAGAGAGGCATAGACTCCTCGGTTCAGTGTAGGCTGCAACGCTCTAGTTGCAACATATTTGCAGAGATGAATAGCAAAGGTTGAGTTAGAACGGCATTGATGCTGAGTTTGATTGTGAGTTTTTCTAAAAATGCGAGAAGCTGAGGCACAGCTCTCGAAGTGATTAAGCTATCGTGCACCGTTTATCTATGCTATTGTTGTTCTTTTACACATTTTACAACTGCTTTACTAAGAATGCGTGCAATGAAACACAGTTGCGAGCTTGCATAGTTAAAAGTGGCCGAGAGGAAGAGCGAGCGTTTTTAACGAGAAGTACTATTAACATGAACTAAAACACATCAAGCATGAGCAATCTGTGCATCATACAACGACAGAAGCCCTGATTTACTTCCAGAATGGAGATAACTTTAATGATAATTTGGGTAGAAGAAAACAGGTATTTTCCTCTTCTGGCTAGTCACAAGGTGTCCATAACTTATTTCTTTCAAGTTTGCCATTTCCTCTGTTACTGGTGGCAGTCTTTTTTGGAAACACAGTAGGGACTCAATTCAAAGACCCAGCATACACAGAGCCAATAGCACAAAGTAGCGGTCAAAGGGGCGTGGGGGGGGGGGGGGGGGGGGGGGGGGGGGGGGGAGTGGCATCTCAATCTCTTTCACACACCGGCCAGAACAAACATTGACCAACACTCTCTTCTGGCACAGCACGGAGAGCCAGGAGCGTATTACGTTTGGCGGAAGCTCGGACCGCTTAGATGCATGTACGGTTGCGACGCGGCTCTAGGGCTCGCCGGGGCTTCCCAACCTCAGGAGCTCGTGTTCTGTTGGGACTTGTATTCTTGTCCGCCGCGCACCCCACGCCGACGTAGGTGAGCTGTGACATCGCTCATCCAGGAGGATCAAAGCCGCGGGCGTGACGCTGCTCCTCTTTCATGTTCTCACGCACGGCCGGCGGGCGGGAAAGTCCATTACTGCATATTTGTATGAAGCGTTTGTTTTAAGAGCCTGTTGTTTCCCTCGAGTTCACGGCGGGACGGGAATTTATTCTGAGGCGGTTTGACGACTTCATTAGCGTCGATTAGTCGCCTGTAGAACCTTGAAATTACACAGAGGTTCATGGACTTCATCCATCACTGAGCTGCACCTGCAGATACAACATTCATTCCTTCACTAGACGCGCTGCTCATCCTTTGTCGAGGGCGGGTTTCCTCCTCTCCTGTCCATCCACAGCTCTGACATATAGAGAACTAATTATCTAATCAACCTGAACAAAAACCATCTTCACCCTCATTGTTCAAATGTGCAGCATGAGAC